ATTTTGAACACATTACATCAGCCATTCTGGCAGTTCATAATTGCAGCCGCATTGGTTTAATGCAAGCAAACTCTGGATCAGTTTCGACAGACAGTGTCTTATCAGCAGTCAGGCTTGCTTGAATTTTGAACTGACAAATGAAACATGAGGATTTCTCCACAAATCTGGCTGTCACCTGATGATGCTAGTTGTAATTACTGGCGAAACGTCGTACTCAGATTGTAAATGTTGTGAATTTACTCTCCAACACACCGATGTGCTGTACTAGTGTAGTGACTGTGATTGTCACTGTGTGGTGCCGGGCTTACGAAGCCATGGCGGATAATGTGTTGGCATTACGTGTAGCCCGCTTGCTGGGCGTAGTACCAGCCCTAGCGGGGTTTGGGCGAGCGCTGGTCAGCGCGGAGGCACCACGTACAGTGTGTGGTGCGGGCTCCCGGTGAGGAAGCGAGAGAGAGTGTCAGCCAGCCAGGGTTACATTGGGGCATGATACGCCGGTTGACTTGCCGACACGTGACCGGATGATATTGGAGGGGGGCCACCAGTAAGGGCTGCTGGGCGGTAACGTGGTATAGAAGAGCTCTCGGGGAGACTTCGGGAAAGAACTCGAGAGATCTAGAAGGTGGGCGGGGCGATGGGCGGCGCCAGCCCCAGCCACAGGCCGATATAACGGGGGCCCCGTGAGGGAATTGGGTTGCTTCGTGTTGCTGGTGATGAAGATCCACGTCGGGTAAAAAGAAGCCTCTAGCCACGCCGTCCGGGACCCAGCTTGTGGTCCGGGCCGGGATAGTGAACCGTGTCTAGTTCTGCCGTAGCGCGGCTAGATGAGCATTCAACACCCAAGTGTACGGTGTGTTATGTTATGTTGATTTATTGAATAAATAGTGTTGCTCCCAAAACAACGACTGCGACTCAGTTGGACTCACTACACTAGTAACGAAGTGTTGTTTACATGACTACCCTTACTATTTGGCTGTGTCGGGTGGTGGTGGGTTTAATGATACATTTATATTTACGTGATCTAACCCAAAAAAAAACCTGTATTATGGATGATATAGGTCCCAAAAACCTACGTGTTAAACTGACAGATGTTGATTATTATAACGCCATCCTTTCTCGAATTCCAGCAAAGCACCATAAACTACAGCGGTTTCAAAACGACCTGTCACGCACCGACCTCAGCATTATGTGTAGTCATAAGGCTTCCATGGCTATGCTACATAAGCTGGCACTGGATACCGATCAAATAAGACCCAGTACAAAATTCGCTATCAAGGTCTCCTGCCACACCTCTCCACCCTTCTCACTCAAACCACCACAGCAAACCTACGCGTCCTACGGGGTACATCTAACAACTTATTTATTACACCTGTAGAGTTTGTTCGGGGACACGGTCAGGATTGAGTGTAGGGGTCATGAAAATAATAAGGGTCCACCCCGAGAGAAATAACTGAAGAATGGCACTGGCAAGGAAAGGTGGGGGAAATGGGGAATGGGGGATAAACACAGATTGGCACGGAAGAAGTAGAGAAGGGCGTAGGTTAGATAACGGGGTGGAAGACAGAGCCGGAGGGCTCCGGGAAAGAAATGACTGGTCGTCAACAACAGTGTTCGTGCCCTACAAATGTTCTTGTCGATGTTTATGGAACAATAATGTTCCCTTAGCAGGACGACTCGTGTGGACTCGCTTTCACACCCAGAACCAGGGACTGTTTGGCTGAGCGACGTTTTTCCGTAGCTGCACCATCAGCCATCTGGAACTCTTTCCCACTGCACACACGCAGCAACAGCATCCAAGCACCATTCATCCTCAGAAGACAGCTCAAGGCTCTCTCATGTTCATTCCGGCGTATGAAGGACTCCTGGAGTTTTGGTTCCATGCCTCCGAGTTCTCAATATAATATTCTGCTTTCGATTCACGAAATAAGTGCGGGTAAAACATAGTTTTTGAATTATAGGCAAGTATGCTGAAATTATGCACTCCCATGAGGCCTTATGGCTGAATGAATTTGCAAAAAAAATACTTCATGTTGTATGTAGAGGGATAGATTTGAAAGACATAGCTTATAACAATTTAAACAAATTTATCTAGAAAAGCTGACCAGGCCAATGAATAGGCAGTACTGATTTTATTTACACCCTCACCTCTTATTGGAAAATAATTTCAAGCTTGTAGAGTGTTGCGCAATTCAACTGGTTAGAAAGTAGACTTTTTTTTATCAAGTCAAAGTCCAGCGTTTCTTGTTTGTTAACCAAAGGGAGCACACCTACTGAACGGTACGCTGTGTAACGTGTTCACAGCGTAGCTGCATTCGTGGTTTTTTGATAGTTTATAACATTTCTGTCACGCTCCTCTTAATTGGACTCATTGCCTTCTCTGCTTCCGAATGAGCACAATTTCTGCAAAGCAGTGTCCCCGAAATCAAGATTTGCTGCCTCGTCCGAGCATTTAAGTTACTTTACAGAAAAACAATAAGCAGTAAGTACGAAAAGTATTTTTTGAATATTTAAGCCAAGTACCTGGATTAATGCTGCGTTGTTGTTGGATATATTGTTTATAACAAACAAGAACATTCAGTTATTAAACTGGTGAGGACCCAGCATCTGTTTAGTCTATGACAGATATCTAAAATGTAGTTTTTGTGGGGAGTTGAACATTGTTGGAATGTTTGAATGGGTTATTTTTGTTGTAAACCGTTTTGTTATGATTGCTTCATAGCAGTTATAAATCCGTGTGGTTTTTCTTAGATGAAGGCATTTTCTCAAGTGGGGTCTTCCTGATAAAAATGTTTTATTGCCTCGGCTGCAATAATTTTTCATTTCCAAATTCATCGAGATTATTGCACATCATTTATACACTATAATAATATGTTTACATTGGATCTACTAACGTGGTGCTAACGTTAAAAAAACCGCCACTTTTTCAAATTTTCTTGCTGTGGTTTTCACACCTGATGATGATTGCTTGTGTTGCAGTCGAAACGTCGTGAGAATTTTATTGTTTTATATTTTTATTATTTTATTGTTTCCCTTCTACGTGACTTTACCGAAAGAACCAAGAATATGAATCCCTGCAGTCACGAAAGCTTGAAATCAAAGTATATAGGCCGTTAAGATGTATCGTTGCACCCTTTAAGTTGCTGTTCCAACAGTACGTACAAGTGCTAGAAGTTCGCTTTTTGTCTACATGTCATTATCCTCGGACCAGATTCTCCATTGTAGTAACTGTAGTTGATGGTCTGAATTTGATTCAGCATGTTATTTGACCAAATTCCAGCACCTGAGAATTAAAATTTCGGTTAGACTGTCATGCGATTACCATTACGCTCGTATGCAGAGCGGATGGATAAAGTGATGTCCACTATTCTGCGCACCAGTGGTCACTTAAACATATCTCAGGCGTAGCTCTGTGATAGTTGCTTCTGCAGGCCATTCTCTAACAAAGGCTTGCACTTCTCCGTAAGATCTCCGAATGTACTCTTCACCTGACGGCATGATGCCGATATCAAAATCAGCATAAAACTGTTTGGGAAAATCTATTCTTTTGTCATGGTTGAAAGAGCAGACTACAATTGGAAATGTGGCTCTTGCAAAAGCATAGAATTTCGCATGAAATAACGCGAGGATATATGGCATGACTAATCTTTTTTGAGACCCTTGTGCAATACTCAACTGCATGTGTAACACTAATGGCCTTCATCCTCTGCACTTCATGAATGTCTCAATTGTTTTAAAATATCCCATTTAAAATGTATGTTGCAAACAATATGCCATCATGATATGTTACATTTTACAGAATTAATTCATAAAACTGCAATGGATACTATATTTTGGAAATTTGAACAAAAAACACATACTTTGAATATCAATAAATATAATGTATACTGTTTCAAGATAAGAAATGCAGTTCTCTCATATATATTCAGTTGTCTTTAAACAAATCCATCATAGCCGAATAAATTATATCTGAATTTTATTCTGAGCTTTTGAATCCTTAACTGAATCAGATGAACACAAATCTTTATCAATGGAATTTTAAAAAGTGCAAAAAAAACCCGAAATGGCAATGCACAAACTTGTATTCGTATTTGCAGAGGACATAACTTTGAATATGTTAATTATAATTTGTTTATATAATGTAGGAATCTAATGTGATAACTCGTATCGGCTTCAAAGACACGCAGAAAGTAAAAAAATAGCTGCAAAATGACAAATCATAACATCCATAATGAATATTTTATAATGCTTGGTTCTGACATGTCATGCTACACATCGCTTAATTTTTAACTAAATATTAACTTTGATTAATTCAATCTTGATTTGAAGCTTTCGTGACTGCAGGAATCCATACTTTTTGGTTCTTTCGGTAAAGTCACGTAGGTAGAAAAAAAAAATCACGACGTTTCGATCGCAACGCAAGCGGCCGTCTTCACCTGAAGTCGTTGTTGTCACCTGAAGACGGTCGCTTGTTGTTGCGATCGAAACGTCGTGATCTATTATTATTTTATACCTACGTGACTTTACCGAAAGGACCAAAGAGTTTTGATTCATTCATTATGTTGCCAACATCTGTTATTTTACCACAGATGGTCAGTTTACATTTGTAAAGGCATAACATTCTGGAAAAAACTTACAATGGTGATTTTTGTATGTATAAATTAGGGAGCCATTACAAATTTTGTCTGTTGTTGAAGTTAATATTTTACATAGTTATACAATACGTTATTCATATAGCATATAGATAAACGTCCAACAACTCAATCTTGCGCAACCTGTCTCGTTAGAAGGACAGAAAGAGACCAATATGAGATAAACTATTGTCCATAGGTGATAAAATGCAAAATTGCCACATAGCAATCCAGTTCCAAATCGTTTTTTGTGAAACATTACGTAAATTGTTAATGAAATAAAGATTCACTGCCAATTTTTCACAAAGAATTTACACAATAGTATATACTATTATCTGTACTCCTTAACTTGTAGACCTTTTGTTTCGTGTCTACATATAGCATTCCAATAAGTAGTGTGTGTGTGTGATTGCCTCGTGTTTAAATGTGTAATATAAGTGTCATGTATGTAATGCGCGTTGTGGAACTGTGTACCACAGATTTACGCTTAAAACACTAAATTTACAGGCTGCACATCTCTGCCCAAAAATGCATACGATTTGGAACGCAGATTTGGATTTATCAACTCTGAGAAAAGTGCCACAGAAAATCTAATTAAAATCAAAATTTGGCTTCATCCTATCTGTAGTCCTTAAAGTTATCACAATTTCTACCTTAAATATTAACCAATGAAAAAAACAAATAAGACAATAGCTAAACCACGACTGTATTTCGATCAATTGTGTATTGTTTTTGCCAGGCCATGCGGTGGTGTTTCAGCTTTGCTCAAACCCTCGCCTTCATGCACATGGCCGTGGGCCAGGAGAAATCTGACGGTGACCGTGCTGTGGGTGGCATGCTGGTGTACCCAACTGATGGCAGCCACTGGATGAGCCTGCGTGACCTGTCCCTCGCCGTGTCTCGGCGTGGTCACAGAGTGGTCGTGGCATTGCCCGCGACCGGTAATCTGATGGTGGGGGAGACGCCTGGGCTAGACTCGGAGACCTTCCCTGTGCCCCTTGTTGATAAACATAACTTGTTAGACACGTTTTTACGAGAAGTGGTATTTAGAGAAACGGATGGCGTTACAGAATTCACCTTTAAGAGCTTGGAGAGCATGAATGAGAGGTGTGCAGTAATGTGTGACAGCTTACTCGGCAATGTTGCTGTGATGCAGCGACTTCGTGCCCATAACTTCCAGGTTCTTCTCGCTGACCCCATGGATCCATGTGGAGCGATTTTAGCTGATGCACTGGGGCTCCCGTCAATATTTCTTATGCGTGGTATTCCATGCAATATCGACTTAAAAGCTGCCCACTGCCCAGCACCATCGTCGTACGTTCCCCAAAGTATGTCAGGCTTCACAGACCACATGAGTTTCACCGAGCGGGTCACCAACATGTTTATGGGTTTAAAGCAGGATCACCTGTGTATTGACTTCCTTCTGAAACGCTTTGATGAGCTGGCCAGGCGCCATCTGGGTCGGGACGTCACGGCCATGGAGCTGCTTAGCAATGCGTCCATCTGGCTGCACCGGACAGACTTTGTCTTTGACTATCCCCGCCCGACTATGCCCAACATGGTGAACGTCGGAGGTATGACATCCGATGAAGCTAAACCTCTTCCACAGGTATTTTTTTCCTACACTCTTTACCTCCATGAGCAATTTGCTCTTATATTCACGCTTACACATAGATAAACTGAAAACATCGTCGACTTCAGTATAATACAATTAAGTATTAGGTTTGTGACGTGCTCTGTTCATATGGATAATATTCATATAATGGAAGCAAATTGGGAAACAGTTGGCAGAGTTTAATTTCTGGGAATTTTTTTTGACGAATATATAATTTCTTACGAAGGATAGCTATATTGCATTTAAATGAAAGGAGTACAAAAGAACACCTGTTTTTATTATATGTTTACACACGAGAATATAATTAGACACTGTGACAAATATAAACGCCTATTTAATGCATGTGTGTGTTTTTTCTTTTGCAGGATTTGGAGGAGTTTGTGCAGAGTTCTGAGGAGCATGGTGTGGTGGTGGTGTCATTTGGATCCATGGTGTCAGCCATTCCTTATAGAATAGCAAACGTTATTGCAGAGGGCCTGGGCAGAATCCCTCAAAAGGTAATAAGGAAATTACGCATCACATGCAGATGGCTGAATTAATGTGGTCCTCTCCCACGGCTTCCAAAATATGAATCCAACTAAACTTTGACAAAATACATGTTTCATGATTGCGCAAGGTATAACCAAGGGCTATGTCAGTTGTGTTTTAATTGATTGCTGCTGGAAGAAGGTGACAAAAATGGGCTGTAAATATATATAGCTTTTAAGAGTTACATATCATACATATGTGTTGATGCAAAACATAAGTAAAAGTGTAAGCCCTGCTATGTGAGTGGCAACCTGAGAGTGGTTGTCATTGGACTCAGCCCCAGTGTGTTAATTCTACTTTTCTTAAATAAATTCATCTTTTCTTATTTCTGGGTGGCATTGAGCTTCATCCTGGCCCAAATGAAAAGAACTCGTATAATTCTGTAGATTTTTCTGGCAGGAAAGGTGTTCTACATGTCAATATCAGAGGGCCTCGACAAAGGAATTATGCTAATTCCTTTGTCGAGGCACCTTTGTCGAGGCACCTTAACCCCTCTCACACAGCTTAAAGGTCGTAGTCTGAGCTTGGCTCTGTTTCACTGCAGCGAAGTCTTCGAGACAGGCTGGTCCCTTCACCTGATGAAGGCCGCTTGCGTTGTGGCCGAAACGTCGTGATTTTTGTTGTTTTATTTTTTACCTACGTGACTTTACCGAATAGAACCAAAGAGTATAGCAGTTTCCTGTCCACCAACAATCTACTACATCTAAAACAATCTGGGTTCCGAAAAAAATACAGCACCACATCTGCTGCATTAGACTCTCTGAATCACATTTACAGTAGCCTTGATAATAAGCAGTACTGTGCCTGTCTTTTTCTACACCTGTCCAAAGCTTTTGATACAGTAGACCACAACACCCTGCTTAGTAGACTAAGTTGCCTCGGTTTTTCCGAAAACGCAGTAAAATGGTTACAAATTTACCTCTTTTCTCGCACCAAAACTGTATTCACAGATGGTTGGAGGGCAAACAGTGTTAAGATAACAAAAGGGGTTCCATCCTCGGCCCCCTTTTGTTCTCACTTTATGTCAATGACTTGGGCACTGACCTGGATCATTCCAGGGTAAATCTTTTTGCAGATTACATGATACTGATTACTGCTGGCCGCTCTCCGGATAACGTGATTGCTAAGCTACAGGGTGATTTCAACAAACTACATCAGCTAGTTGCTCTTAAACTTGTCCTGAATACCTCCAAAACCAAGGTGCTATGGTTCTCCCCAGGACTAAAGCAGGAAGTTATTTTTCCCCAATTACATTCCTTAAATAATTATCAAATAGAGCAAGTCAAGATCTATAAGTATCTTGGGGTCATCCTGGCTTTCAAAACTGAATTTGAAGATCACATTAATTATATTGGTAAAAAGACAAAAATAAAAATTGGTTTTCTGTATCGACACAAGCACTGCTTCCCCCCAATGTTCCATTTGGAATTGATAAAAGCTACCATACTGCCTCTACTTGACTACTGTGACATCGTGTATAAATCAGCCCCAAGTACTGTACTGAAGAAGCTTGATTCCATCTATCACTCGGCCTTAAGATTTACATTGAACTGCCCATATAGGACTCACCACTGTGATCTCTACATTGGGTCAAACTTAATATATCTTCATGTTCGACGGCTTGTGCACCAGATCTTATTTATTCACGATGTACTTACAAAAAAATCCGCAGACTACCTGCTGGATCTCCTCTCTGTTACAAAGAACAAAATTGACCTCAGGTCTTCGCTCATTTACCAGCTTCAACATTCCCTATTGCCGTACAAAAACTGGAGGAAGGGCCTTTGCTATTGATGCCCCCAGGGTCTGGAATGCTATTGCCAGTAAACTGCCACTTGAATCGCTACCAATGAGATCTTCTCTCAAAACTGCTCTAGAGGAGTTGTACACCCCTAGCTGCCACTGCTATTCATTGGCGTAAAATAAAATAAAATGTTTAGCTCCGGATGACGCTGCAAAGTATTATATGTATTTTGATTTAGCGTGCTGATCTTAAAGGTGCATTGAAAAATTTGATACTCCGACTGATGCTTCTGTTGTTGTGGAGTAACTCATGCAGCCAGCTATGGCTCAAGGATTTGGTGTTACATGTTATTTATGTAGTTTATTGTAAAAATTCGGTACCAGTCCCTATGATCACTGTTACGTTGCAATTATGGCTTTATTTTTTGGTGATTTCGAAAAGTTTTTTTGTTTGGACATGTTTGTTTTGTTGTAGTACGGAGTTAGACTGATGGCTTTAATCTAAGTTTTCTTGTGATTGTTGTTGTTTGACTTGCATCCCACTGGGATTTTTTGCACACAGCGTTGGTGTACGGTGCTTTTTTCAGGAATATTTTGCTGTTTTTTCATGGATTTTCTGTTTGCACAGTCACATAGTCACTTTAAGATGTTTTCTTGTTCGTGTTTTTTTTGTTTGTTGTGGTTGCACCCGATTCAAGAGCCGAATGGCTCACAGGGCTATACCAAAATAAATAAACTGAAACTGTGTTAGCATTTATGGATATCCATCCATTGAGTTGAGGAAACGAATATGAACCAAGTGCCTTCCAGCTGGCTACACAATGCAAGAAGCTACCCTCCTTGCATAGTGAAAGGTATCGAGAACCACTTTCTCATCCCTGATCCTCACCATTTGTCCTCCTGGCATCAACTCGCCACGTCATGGGCCCTGCTCAGCAGTTTCCGTACCGGCCTGGGTTTTATGTGCAGCCAACTTCCGCACCTGGGACCAGCGTGACCACAAGCCACTCTGTGCATGTCGTCAGTGACTGACCGTGTCGCACATCGTCAACGATTGCCCTCTGACTGGACTCGACGGTGGTTTATGGCCCTCCACACTGCTGATGAAGTAGCAGCTGTCACTTGGCTCGGCAAGGCCTGGCATGCGATAATAATAATAATAATAATTGTCGAAGGTCCTAGAGAACAGATTTCCCCATGGTCGCTGACAGCAGAGCTTAATCCAAATGCGCAAACAATCCAGTTACATATTGGTTATATTTTTTCGTGTAATATTTAAACATTAAGTGAAATATTCACACTGCTGCAGATTGACGTTGTGGCCACGTAAGTTTTACATTCGCACTGTTGGATATCCATGGCATTGCTCCTCATGTGATTAAATCCCGAGACAATATTTGCAGTCATTGTACGAGACATTGCATTATTGCCTCATTTACAATTAAATCTGACAATCATTTACAATGAGCTGTGTACTCTGTAACCTACTTTTAAACACTGGATTGTATACATTACTAAGTTACTGGGTTACTTTTAAATTGAACTGTTATTTTTTAGTTGTTATATATTTATATCTGGCCTTATTGTAAAATATTTAAATCTGGGGGCGTTGGCTTACCTTAAAATACTCCCATGCACTTTACTCATTGCTAGACTGTTAAACGTTAATTCCCACTGGCCAAATCCCGCGTAGGTATTTTTTGCTGACATTACATCTAGATCAAAGATGCAGAGTAATCCAACACCACAGTGTTCGCACATGTCCCATAATTGTATGGTTGTTGAACTTCTTTTGCACCGTATGTAGCCAACCGTGCTAATCGAAGGTGCGGGAGAAGGACAACAAACTGATTATGCATTGCCTAGAGAGTGCATATGGACTGAAAATGTCAACATAACCAGCAGACATTAATGTGTTCCTTCTATATTCTCACCAACATTCTTTATTTTCTCTTGGAGCAATGAAACAAGCTCGTCAGCATGCAATTGTTTTAATACACACGCACATTGAATGCAGTAGGGCCCTTTTACTTTTCACAGTGGGCTAGTATACTGCAAGGGTCCAGCTCCCCACACCCATTACTTACATTGTGTCGTACCATGGAAGGTGATTACAGTATATATAGAATTAGCCTGTGTGGTACGATATCTAGAGCATTGATTGCTGGTGAAAACTCCTGCTGATTCGTTTGTGCTTTACTCCAAAGGTTATATGGCGATATGAAGGACCAACTGTCGAAAAACTCTCAAACAACACGAAAGTGATGCCCTGGATACCACAGAGGGACCTCTTAGGTGCGTGTGGTAACATCTATAATTATAATCAGCATTTAAAAAAGTGTATATTTTATTTATTTATTAAACAGCATCAACTCATTTTCAAGCAAGCCCTAAAGTGTCTCTGGACATCTGGAATCCACGGAGCAAAGTGTAGTTGTGTCCAACACAGGTATGAGAAGAGTTTTCCCCCTTTTTTCTTGCAACAAAACAGGTGTTGGAGATGTTAAAACACCAAACTGAAACCTTTTACAAGGAATCATGTCTGCATTAACCACAATTCTTGTGGTCAAAATGCAAAAAAAAAACATTCTCTGATAATATAAGTATTATCTTTTAAACTGATTGGTCCACACCTTGTAAAAGGTTTCAGTTTGGTGTTTTAACATCTCAACACCTGTTTGTTGGCAGAAAAAAGGGGAAACCCTATTCTCATATTTTGGTACTGGCAAAGGAGGTCCCATGATCCAACACAGGTAGTTGAGCAACTAGTTAGGGTTCATCCGTTGACTTTACAGTATTATCGTCCCACCTGATGTTGACACTGAACAGCCTTGTCCCGATCGCTGTTTCACACATTGTACGATAACCTAATGAAGATATTATCGGACCAGCGAAAAATGTGACATTGTAGAACCCCTCTAGGAGGGACTTGGTTGTCACAAATCCAAATCACAGTTCATTTGATGAATTGTGGAGAATACTGTAGGGGACACAGGGCCACCTCATGGTTCAGAGGTCTCTGCAGGTGCAATGCCTGTGCATGTTTTTGAATATAAGCGTGTCTTAAACAAAACACGTGGAAGATGTAACATTATACCGTGGGGTGGTTTGTGCACTGCACAATGACCTGAGTTTAATGCCCATCCCTACTGGCTGATATCAGTGGTGAATGTGTATGTATGTATGTACGTATGTTTGTTGAACTTCTTTCACACCGTACGTAGCCAGCCGTGCTAATCGGAGGTGAGTGGCATCTGAACTGGTTCTGGGCACCCCCTTAGCTCATCCTCACTGTCCAGAGTGGAGCAACATGATAAAAAAAAAACCTGACATGGCATAGAGAGGACGTAATCCATCGGTGGATAGGCAAAAGCCTACAAATAAATAAATAGATAAATACATAAATAAAATAACATGGATGTGTAGAATTTCTAACGTGCTTGAATGAAATGTCCAGGAAAAACGTTCTAACCCACGAAATGCTATTGTCCAAATTAGACTACTGTGGAGAGGAGGTGCATTGAGTGTATAACAAAGTGAAATGTTCAGTTATTAAGAGATAATTACACTCAAGAAATCAGAATGTGGGTTTTAAAGTCTTCCAATTGGGCTAGCACGGGTGGTGTATATATGGGTGATCAAGTTTTGCTGGCCACTGTTATATCATGGATTATAACATGTAGTTATCCTCACATGATAACGTAAACTATAACATGTAGACATCATAGAACTGATAGCACCCGCCCCCAGCATGTACACCGACTGCTCTGTTACTCCAGCTTTTCATCAAGACTACGGTTTCTCAAACACACATCCTTGCAGCCCACCACATATAAGTAAACACGCAATTTTAGCTTCCGTTTCGAATTGGGTTTCTTGAATTGGTAATATAGTATTACTCTTATTTAGCTTTACGTGCAGTTTTTTTGCACGAACAAAAAAAATCTACCTTAGTAAAATACACGGTCGTATAAACTAGTCATGCCCTGGCCATGTGAATAGCATGAGACTGTTACTAATCTCTGTGCCTATAGCTCAGAGCATCCGGCCCGAACGTCAGATATGGCTATGGCTGAGAATTAAAATTCAGCTAATGTGCCATCACAAACTGAGAAAAACATGCTTGTACAATATCTCAAACCATTAATATTTGACCAAAGCCACTTTATGTTCCAGTTCCAAAGCTATGTATCGCTCAGTGATGTTAACTACCTCGCCTGGTATACAGGAGGTCGTGGGTTCGATCTCAACCCTCATGCCTGTATATTTGGCGTTTGGATATTTTGAGTTTGTATATGCTCCCTGTGGTCGCGTGGAGTTTACTCTGGTTTATCACTTTACAATTAAAAACATGCGTTTAGAGTATTTGGCTGCCATAAATTTCCATATGATAAGCCACTTAGTTGAGTTATTATTTGTGGCCAGATTTCTTCTGGAAAAGGGATATATACAGTAGCTCAGGGGGCCTTACATGGTAAAATAAAAACAGTTTATAGTTTTAGTTTATTGAACAAAGTGTTCAAAAGATCCGAATATGCGTTGTGTTCCTATCTGGCTGTGATGGTGCCGGTGGATGACAGCCCACGCTAAGACTCGTGTATTCGTGACGCACGGGGGATCGCACGGCATCTTCGAGGCCATCTGCTACGGCGTCCCCATGCTCGGCCTGCCACTCTTCGCGGACCAGTTCGAAAACGTGGCCCGCATGCAAAGCAAGGGTGCCGCACTGGTACTCAGCATTCACTCCCTCGACGCTGGCTCTCTCGCCTCGTCCATCTCCACAATCGCCACACACAAGAGGTACGGTGGTGGGGCGCTGCGTCTCAAGCGATTGGCTGACAATATCGCACCGGTGGGGAGCTTGTGTAGGAAAGCCGTGCAGTCCCATCGCACTCTGCCATGCCAAACTATCTAACTGTGTGGCATTTGCAATTTGATTATGAGTTGAATTTCGTAAGATTTCCGCTCGAGCCATCGAACAAAGACTATCACTGCATCGCGCGCTTTCAGATGCGCTTCTGCGGTCGTTTGGAACGCTCTTCCTTCCGATATTAGGAAGCCACTGGAGCTATGCACTTTTAAATCTAGATTGAAAACTCATTTCTAGGGAACTGCTTTTTTTGTGTTTATTTCATTTGACGTATATAATGTTTTCCAAAAATCATGGTAGAGAGTTTTAAGATATAAAATATGGCACTTTTGATGACATTCACAAAGAATATTTCTTTAATGCCTCGGGTAAATGTCACAATACATGCTGTCAAGTGGTAATGCGTTAATTTAATCATTTATTATGCTCAAAATACACGCATTGGATCGTGAGTGTGATCATTGATTTAATTATTGACAATAATTTATACATTCAGGTTTATAGAGGGCAAAATATCTGAACCGATGGAGACAAAAAAAGTGAGAATACTGTAGAAATAGGATGGGCGAGACAATGACACATTTTTTCGTGTTATTCCCTTCGTGCATTGTATCATGACCTCGAGAAATCACGTCATCGTTGGTGGGCTGAATAACTGACTTGAGCTGATGCCTCTCTAAACAAATACCCGAAGGAGCTTCCTCTGAATACAGCCCCCCCCCCCCCCCCCATACGCCCCTTCTTGAGGGGGGACTGCAATTACATCCTTCCTCGCCACTACGAAAAAAGAGCCCGTTGCGATCATTCCAGCAATTAAAGAAACGGCCATAACATTTCCAAAGTTTCCAGATACGGGGGATGAATATGCGCAGCGTCTTGAGGCGACGTTGCATTGAATTTCGACTCTTTGTGAATCAACATTGCGCTCGACATACTGAGAGTCAGTAGGGCGTGCCACGTGTACTATTAATCTCTCTTTGTGGTCTGTAATATAAGTGGTGCACGAATTGATATATTAACGAGTAGATATTTCTGGCGTGGGAACGACCACATTTCAACGATGATTAAGCGCAGTCGACGTAAATTAATGGGCTGGAGGGAGCTCGGATGAGCCCATGAATCGTGCATTAGTTAATTCTTAAACATCATTTTCTTTTAACTAGTCAGCTAGATGTAATTAAAATTGATTAGCAAAAACTCAAAGCATGCACGAAAGCCGTCACGTGCAATTAGAGCCAAGAATAGCCCATTAGTTCAACCTAAGACAGGGGACTGCTTGCCCAAAGTGATTGCAGTGATGGTCACGGCGTGATAGCAGTCGCTGGTGGGTATCATCCATGTCATGCGAAATGGATGATACTGCTCTTTGTGTTTAGTCCTTGCCCCGCACTTCCGATTATCGCGCTTGGCTACGCACGGTGCGAAAAGAAGTCCAACGTACGTACAGAACATACTGTAGCCTATTTGTCGGACCTTTATGCCAGTATCAAAATAATGAAAAGAAATACAAGAATAGTCTTGATCCTTTGTGGCAATAAAACAGGTGCTAAGGTGTTCAAACACCAAATAGATACCTACTGCAGCCTTTGCCGTGTCTGATTTTCTTAGCAGCTACAAGGAGAAGGCATCACTTCTCTCGCGTCTGCACCACGACCAGCCGCAGAAGCCCATGAACAGGGCAGTGTTCTGGGTGGAGTTTGTGATGCGGCACGGTGCGGAGCACCTGCGAGTGGCGGCTCACCACCTCACCTGGTACCAGGAGGCCGGCTTTGATGTGGCGGCGTTTCTGCTGGCAGCCATAGTCCTGGTGACAAGCGTGTTCATTGCGCTCATCACGATCTGCTGTCGCTGGCTATGTAGGGCCAAACATCGTGACGCCACTGTAAGCAAAGGAATGGCAGCCTCTAAAAAACACAAATGATTTTATCCGGAGCAAAAAAAAAATCTATATTATATTTAGTGCACGGGTTAATATCTTCAAAAACAATATAATTGTGCTGATTTTGTTTTCTGAAGTTGAATGCGAATGTAATTCCCTTAAATGTGTTGTTTTTTTAAATAGTGTCTGGCTAAGTTCATTCGAGTGCTCTTAGCAAGTAGATAATGGCGACGCATGGGACATGGCTTTAGAGACACTTTGAATGTTAGCGATTGAGACTGGTTTTGTACGGTCATCTTATTTTGTATTGGGTCGGGTAATTGGTCTATTGTTGATTGCTTTCTATAAAACTTTGACGTCACAAGGTGATCAAGTGGACAGGGGTGTCTCAAGGCTCAGAGATCCAACCATAGTACCGGCAGTACGCACTTGATGTTGAAAACTAAATCCACCCTCATTTACCCCTCGATCACCTTGCACAATGCGTCTCCATACTCATCTTTGTTTTTACCATGTGGCAATTCTAGAAGAAAATGCACACAGTAATTAGGCTATTGCAAATCTCCATAGTCTTCATTTCGCCTGTCCCTTGCCTCCAACTCTATAATGAGCAATTGCAGAACGCAGTTATCTTCCCCGTTAAAAAATGAGCTAGTATGTGTTTGGACAGATTGTACTTGGCTTAATCAAATGCTTCAACGTAACCGAGAATCACGATGTTCCTGAAAAAGGGGCAACGGTGATCTCGTGTGAGTTGCGTCAGTTGTCCATTCGACACGCATTAAAAAAATATAAACCCACAGTTTAAGCAGGGATATTGTTTTAACCTTTTTTTCAAACAACGTATGCTTGATTCAGGCAGCGGGCCATTCTTTTGCCGAATTGCCTTTAAAAAAAACATCAAAGAAAATGCTGTTCTTTAAACATGATGTGAGATGATTCGCTGCTTACAATTTAATGCTGTGATTTTATTTTCATTAAAGAAACGTAATAAAAAAAATCGTGATAATGTATGTTCCGTCAATTCAGTGGTTGCAGACAGATACATCAGCACTTAAAATATTGAAAAAATATATATTTGGTAATTGTTCACGTGACATAAATGATTCACACATCATCAACCATCAGGTGGTAGCCTAATACAATTGGCCCGATTGATGAGGCGATTTATTTATTATTATTTTCCTAAGTAAGGGCCACTGAGCTGTATAGGTCTTTTTCAGAAGAGACCTGGCCACAAATGATAGCTCAAAGAAGTGGCTTGTTATGTGGAAATGTATTTCAGTCAAAGACTCTAAATGCATGTTTCTAAATTTGAAGGGAAAACCTGGATGAGCCGGAGAAAAATCCACCCGACCACGGGGAGAGAGAAACGCAAACTCCAAATACACAGCAAGCGTCAGGGTCGGGATCAAATCCATGACCTTCTCTATTACCAGACATGCCCACAGCAGATCACGAGCGGTGGACCCTTTAATGAAAGGTAAGCAGACAGTAGTCTCATTCATGTATTTGTCTCTTCACAAAAAAAAACATAGAGGAATACGTATTGTCTTGAATGAGACGTCTGCTTATCTATTTTGTTACTTAAATTCCCGCACAACAACGTGATTGTTGTGTCTTCAATAAAGGGGCCATCACAGCCAATGCCGTTACTCGATTGTGCTGCTGTTCGTGCACATGCGAACACGATCCTTGCACCCGAGATCATCGTGACTTCGCACTTTTGATTTGTGTCAAACGTGGAACAAGAGCAGCTTGACACTACAGTTGCGAGATAACGCATTCAAGCCAAACCTTCCAATTAAAGTTTCAATAGTAAAGAAAGCATTGTTTGCAAATTATGGTGTTATTTACTGCACCTTCGCGAATTTAGTCAATTACACGTATCTGGTCCTGAATATTGCTAAATTTAATGACAGTCATGGTCATTAAATACCTTGCAGACAAACTGCTCTCCATTGGTGGAAAAGACCTCACGTCTATCGGACTACCAACACCCTACAGGGGCAGCCTGCATGCCCTTGGCTCAAGAGATCCTACGTGAAATATCCTATGATGGTTTAGAGCTTCTTAAATGTATTGAGGTAAATTAACCAAAGCTGATGGATGCACAAAGAGAAGCCTACACGAAAAATCTTGGAAGACATTGAGACAAAAAATCGAGGCATATTTTCCCCTGATGCACCTGGCGGTACTGGGAAGACCTTTGTTCTCAACCTGCTCCTCGCTAAGGTTCGCCAGAGGGAAAAAAATACTCTAGCTGTGGCATCATCAGGGATTGGTGAGCAAGTCGATGTGTGTGTTTGAGTCCATATGTGTGTGCGTGTAGGTCGATGTGTGTGTGGGTCGATGTATGTGTGTGTGTGAGTCGATGTGTGTGTGTGGGTCCATGTGTTTGTGTGTGTGGGTCGATGTCTGTGTGTGTGTGTAAGTCGATGTGTGTGTGTTGTGTCTTTTTTGCCCGGGCAACGCCGGGTACTTCCCGTTAGTCTATACAGTATATAAAAGTTAATTGTTTCGTGCGTGTGTCACAGTAACGCGCTTTCTTTCCGGTCTGATTGGCCAAAACTAAATTTACAATCGGAAAGACCCAAGAATACACAAATAAGTGTTTTATATTTAAAACATATTTTAAAGTTTAATTACATTTGAATAAGATAATTTAACCCACAGAGAGATAACCCATTATAAACCACAGGGGTGATGCTATCCAATTATTTAACAATTTAACAAATAAAACTTTACCCTCTTTCGTTGATTTCAATTGTAATTTGTTAATCATTGTACAATAACAGTTGCAGTGATTTCATAATGCCGTGTCTTGCTTTTTATGTTTTAAAGTGTAAGTCCATGCGAAACTGTTAGTATCGTCCACCCACTGAGTGAGTAGTACATTCCAAACAGCCCAACCGCTCAGTTGAACAATGTGGATCAAAGCAGACGCCGGTAACACGATTTATTATTATTATTTACAGATGTTAATTTTGGCATCATCGGACTGACGTACATCAGAATCAGAATATTTATACTGCTGGAGGAATCCGATGAGCTATAAAGCTCCTTTTCACAGATGTACAGTCGGGGCACGGGGTCAGAACGTTACCTGTGTTTACATTCGAGATGGGCCAGAAAATGCCTGTTTTGTACACCGTTTTTTTGGCGTCCAGCGATTGATTCGACATGGCTCCATGTTATCATCATGTACTACATCCAGTGCCGGATTCTCCTCTTAGCAAAAGTAGCTACATGTGTAGTAGCTACGGGCCCCGCACTTTCAAGGGCCCCGCACTTTCAAGGGCCCCGCACTTTCAAGGGCCCCGCACTTTCAAGGGCCCCGCACTTTCAAGGGCCCCGCACTTTCAAGGGCCCCGCACTTTCAAGCGCCCCGCACTTTCAAGGGCCCCGCACTTTCAAGGGCCCCGCACTTTCAAGGGCCCCGCGCTAAACGCTTTCAAGCTATCAATTCCGGTTCAGTGATTCTGCACTTGCTCTATTACTATAGTACTATACTGCCTTCAATTTTTATGAACAACTGGGTGTTTAAGGTTAGCGATTTTTGTATTTATCCGGCTGTATAGCAAATGAAATAATACATATTTTAAACAACTTAGGAAATGTACTCAAAAGTAAAACAATATACAATTTTCTGTTCAAGTACTTTGCATTATATATGTTTAATAGACTATTGTTGTGATTGACTAAAAATAAAAGCGTGTGGCATAACGTAAGGGACCGTGGGCAATTACAGCCAACGTCAGTTTACCGTGAACAATTAAAATCAAGCCAAAACATAACATATAAAAAAGAATGTTTTAAAATATATTTTTTTATGATAGAATATAGTATTGTCATCAGTATAACATAAGTATACCAAGTTTGCAGTCGATTCCACATTGGGAAGTGGATTAGAATTGAGTTACAAGATTTGAGGATACAACAACAACGACAACAACAACAAAGTTAAATAAAAGCGTATAATAATACAATTACTTTACTATGCAAGTCAAAAAATGTGTGTTTTAATATTTATGTGTTTTTTTTTTAATTAGGGCCCCTTTACAACATATGCTACAGGCCCTGCAATGTTGATACACAGGTGCTTTTATTGGACAACATTAATGGTTGACACCTCATAAATGTGTCTTTTATTTCACTATGTACGATTTATCACCGATGTGACATTTCTTTGATGACAGACACTTATTATTTTTTCACTATAGCCTCAAATGAGTACCTGGTGCGGTGTGTAAACATCGCCACTGGGAAGAGACAAAGGCTGTCGGGCGTGGTGCTGTCCACTCATCCCCTCGTGTACCGTTGTGTCCTTGATAGGTGCTCGCTAAAAGCACTTTACCCAACAGTCTATTAAAGGGTATATGGGAGGTATTTGTCTTTTTTGGCGTTCAATGTATTACGTTCGTCCCTTGGACACAGGCCTTATGGATACATTAATTTTATAGCTCTTTCAGCTGATGAGTGTGACAAGTCAAGAGTTTAATTTGGCAAGCCATTCCAGTAATTTGACTGAAGCCCGAATAACATTTTAATTTTTCAAATGAACATGGATCAATTTAGTCTGCAGCACGCAAAACACATAAGAGACAAACGGGTCACGACAACACGTTCACCTATTCAGCAAAATTGCACAATAGCTCCATCCCAATTAAAAAACTTAATTTACTCAGCACAATATATACAGCAAGGTAATTTGCATTGGTGGCATTTTATGGATTTAATTGGGCGGCATCATCAAATAGATGTAATGTTCCTTTAATGTTCTTATATGTTATATAAAACGAAATAATCTTCGTATACATTAACATTGTTTTGTCATCGTTCAACTAAAAGTCCTGGTTTTAAACATTGCCACCAAATATAATTTTCCCCATCACTGAGGTCGTGATGGGTACAATTGTTGGGACACTGTGCTGTATCGTTGGCTACTCTATATAAAACATGGCAAAATATTTAAGATATATAGTATTAAAAAAAAGAATTGTCTCAAACTTTACCACCAATCTCCCTAGAATGCATTTTTTACACGCTTCGTTCTGAATAGTTTTAACAATTAAGTGAATCACAAGTAATGGTACAAGGCACTTTGGCCGCGTGTCTTTGCCACGCACAGTTGGACTGCATGACTCACGTTTTCCCACAAATGTTGTCTTGGACATGTTGGCAACATTTATCTCGTGCCCCCATGTTTCTGAAAGCCCTCTTCAAATCATACCTCAAGCAAATAAAAGGGAAAATCATGTTGGCAAAGGATGACATCTGTGGGCGCACCTGAAAGAGTGATGTAAGGGATATATTCTGTACTCAATGAAATAGTCAGATGTAGATATAACGTTGATTGTCATGAGGCCGATTAGTAGTATTCCATGTATAATACAGGGTTTTTTGGGTTAGATCGAGTAAATATATAAATGTGTCGTTAAACCCGCCATCACCCGATACATGCAATTAGTAATATTTGTCACGTAAACAGAACATGCCAATTCGTTACGAGCACAGCACACCGGTGTGTTGGAGAGAAAAGCCACAACATTTACAATCTAAGTACGCACATAAATGACTATGGGTACCCTTTGGCGTTGGGGTTATTTATATGGTAATGAATGTATATTATGCATGGACGTTATGCGAGCCCATTGTTATTGTACTTTCTGTCAATTGTGTGTACTAAAATAGCCACTCCAACGGTAATCACTATTGAAGTATGGTGACTTGTATAGGCATGCATTTTTATCAATGTATTATTTGATGATTCACTTCCAAGCAGCACTAAGTCTGTAGATATCCGATCAGTTAAAATTATGTTTTATTTCTCTTAATTTCGATAGATTCTCTAATTAGTATTGGCCAGCAGTAACTAGTTTTGCACAGAACTTCAACATTCCCAAAATCAATTGAGTGCCCTTGTTGGCACGCGTGTTCTGCCACCGCTGACAGTTGTATTTTGGAGTATTTCATATTTCTGACAGCCTAAAATTGGTACTAGCCAAGGGGTTGAATTTCGCAGTCACCCCCAAACACATCCCAGTGGATGGCATCATTGCGCAGGTCGACGTAGCTCTCAAAGGTCTGGGACACATCCCGGCAGACGTTGCAAGACCTGAAATCGCTGTTATCCTCAAGAATGCTAAGAAATCCATTAGCAACATTACTAAGGACGAA